CTGGGGATTCGAACCCGCCACCTTAGGTGTACGTGGCTGGCGCCTTAGCCAGTTGAGCTATAGGCGCCGAGCCCCAATTTTTATTTTTTAAAGCTTATAGTTTTTTCTAAATTTCAAAATATTAAGGTGGTATAAATGTTTTTATTAAATGGATAGCTTTTATAATGCTTAGGTCAAGGCTGTTAGTGTGCCCATCACCTGAATAGTGTTCATTGTACCTTTAGGTTTTTACCCTCCTTGATTTCCGATGAGGTCATATATCAGAATTGGCAATTCATCTTGGTAGGGAGCCTGCGGCCTTGGGGCCACATGTGGCTTTATGGATCCTTGAATGTGGCCTTTTGATTGAATCCAAATTTTACAAAGTGTATTCTTTTTTTGAGACAGAATCTCACTCTGTGGCCCTGGGCAGCGTGCTGTGACATAATGATAGCTGACAGTAACTTCAAACTCTTGGACTCAAGCGATCTGCTTGCCTCAGTTTTTCTATTCTTAGTAGATACATGGTCTTACTTGCTCAAGCTGGTCTCCGACTCCTGAGCTCAAGCAATCTGCCCACCTTGGCCTCCCAGTGTCTTAAGATTATAGGTGTGAACTACCCCACATAGCCAAAACATATCCTTTTAACAAAAGAATTTGTTCTGTGAAGTTTGTATTTGATCAAGGGGCCACACTTGGGTATCTGTAGGGCCACATGTGGCCACAAGGCTGCAGGTTCTGCACCCCTATGAGAGAGCAGTAATTAGGAATATACTTTTAAGTCTTTGTTTCAATCCTTTCTGCTTGATTTTTAAGTAAATCTCAATATAAATGAATACTTGAGTGGTTGTGCTTTTATCATATTATATTATTAAGCTTTGATTATTAGATTTTTATAGATTGGATAAATTCAGGATAAAGTACTTCTCTATGAATGTTTCTGGCATAAGTATTTCTCTTGTGTCCTAATACGATGCTGCAGATGGGGTGACCAGCTTGTCCAGCTTTGCCAGCTACTTTTCCCATTTTAGGTCTAAAAATCTTGCATCCTGGGAAACCTCCCATTCCTGAGTGAACTATGCTGGTTACTCATCCTAGCTGCATAGAATGATTCATATTTATTTAATTAGATATATTCTATAATAAATAGAAGTTCTCTTATTTTTAGGGAAGCCAGAGGATGAGGGCTTGTGTAAAAAGGCTGAAGTACCATCGTCATGTTGTTGTACATGCCATTCAAGGAATTTTGCAAATGATGACATGAACCAGGAAACTTCACATCATTTCAACAATTCAAGTACACCACCTTCTGAAGGAAATGGCACTTTATCAGCTTGTCAAGGTAGCTTATATTTTGTCTGAGTCTGTTAATATTTGTAATAGAAGTCTTAATTATTGCTGTTAGGAGACCTAATTTATACAATCTGATTAGCATAATTGATTGTATATCTCCATCTCATTTCTCTGGAATTATTTTATTTTAAGAGATAAGGTCTCGGGTGGTGCCTGTGGCTCAGTGGGTATGGTGCTGGCCCCATATACCGAGGGTGGTGGGTGGGTTTGAACCTGGCCCTGGCCAAACTGCAACAAAAAATAGCTGGGCATGGTGGCGGGCACCTGTAGTTCCAGCTACTTGGGAGGCTGAGGCAAGAGAATTGTCTAAACCCAGGAGTTGGAGGTTGCTGTAAGCTGTGACTCCACAGCACTCTACCGAGGGTGATAAAATGAGACTCTGTCTCTTAAAAGAAAAAAAAAAGGAGAGAGATAGGGTCTCACTCTTGTCACCCAGGTGGGTGTGCAGTGCTGTGATTATACCTCATTGTAGCCTCAAACTCCTGGGCTCAGATTATTCTCTTATCTTAGCCTCTCCGGTAACTGGGACTACAGGTACATGTCACTGTGCCTGGCTAGTTTTTTATTTTTATATTTTTGTGGGGATAGGGTCTTACTGTGTTGCACAGGCTGATTTTGAACTCCTGACTTCAAGTGATCTTCTTGCCTTGTCCTCCCAGAGTGCTAGGATTACAGGCATGAGCCACCATGCCTGGCAGAAAATGAAGTTATTTGTAGTTGGTATTGTTAATTATTGCTTATGTTAGAATTTTATAAAACATAATGTTTGTATCTAAGACACAATCTAATTCATTCATTCTTGACTTGAGAATCCTACATGAGGATCAGGTATGCTTATGTACAATCTTTAAATAATTCTTATTTTATTTTATTTTTTATTGAGATATACTTTGTCACCCTTGGTAGGGTGCTGTGGAGTCATAGCTCACAGCAACCTCAAATTCTTGGGCTCAAGTGATCCTCTTGCTTCAACCTCCCAGTAGCTGGGACTATAGGCGCCTACTACAATGCCTGGCTGTTTTTTTTTTTTTTTTTAACATTTCTAGGTCAGGTTCGAACCCACCAGTCCCAGTGTATGTGACCAGTGCCCTAACCATGGAGATACAGGCACCCAGCCAATAATTTTTTTTTTTTTTTTGGAGACAGAGCCTCAAGCTGTCACTCTGGGTAGAGTGCTGTGGCATCACGGTTCACAGCAACCTCCAACTCCTGGGTTTAAGCGATTCTCTTGCCTCAGCCTCCCAAATAGCTGGGACTATAGGTGCCCACCATGATGCCCAGCTATTTGGTTGCTGCTGTCATTGTTGTTTGGTGAGTCCAGCCTGGATTTGAACCCGCCAGCTCAGGTGTATGTGGCTGGCACCTTAGCCACTTGAGCCACAAGTGCTGAGCCATAATTCTGTTTTTTAAGAAGAAGATTATTAATAATATATTTTTTAAAAAAACTTATGATTTTAGCTATATGGAAAAGATTGATTATTATTTACTAAGACAGAAATCTAGGGCACATCCTGGATACATTGCTCTTCCTTATTTCTTCATGTAAATTTTCATGATTCCTCATTCTACTTATAACCTTCATAGTCCAAAACACTCTCTTGCTTTAGAACATCCAAAAACTTTTTTCCTGCTTTTACTTATACTATAGTTTTTTTTTTTTTTGAAGAGACAGAGTCTTACTTATTGCCCTCGGTAGAGTGCTGTGGCATCACACAGCTCACAGCAACCTCCAACTCCTGGGCTTAGGTATTCTCTTGCCTCAGCCTCCCAAGTAGCTGGGACTACAGGCACCCATCATAATGCCTGGCTATTTTTTTATTGCAGTTTGGTTGGGGCTGGGTTTGAACCCACCACCCTTGGTATATGGGGCTGGCGCCCTACCCACTGAGCCACAGGTGTTGCCCACTTAAAGTATACTTTTAACTAATCATTGACAGAGAGAAAGAGGTTACCATGATTGATGTAAGTCTAAATAATATCCACTTCCTAAAATCAAGGAATGAAGTCAGTTTTCTCTGAAGCACATGACTACATAGAGGAAGGTAGTTGCTTGCACTAGACTGTGATTCTGTTAGGAATAAGGAGAAGGAGGTGAAATAGTTGTTGGCTAGGTAACCAATAGTATTGTCTACATTGTTTTCACCCTTAGACTATTTTGGCTTTCTTATTATTCCCTCAAACAGTCAGCTTTGTCTTTCCTCAGACCCTTTGTTTGTGTTTGTGTCTCTTCTGAGCAAAGTTTCATCTTCAACTTGTTAACCTTCTCTTCCTCAGCTTAAATGTCACTTCCTTTGGGTATCCATCTCTGGCTTTTCTGGGAGACTAGATTTGATGTCCCTATTATATTCCATCATATCATTTAGAACCTTTTCTTTATAGTATTTGTCACAGTTTGTATTATACATATATGTATCTATGGATCTTTTATTAATCTCTGTTGGAACAATTTCAGTTTGCATACCCTTGATCCCTAGAACCCAGAAGAGTGCCTGGCATATAGTAGGTGCTAAATTAATATTTGTTATGAATGAATGGAATTAATTTTGAGCTAATTATAAGAACTCTGATATATAATATTTACATATAACCTATTTATTTATTTATTGAGACAGGGCCTCACTCTGTAGCTTACGCTAGAATGTAGTAGCCCTGTTATAGCTCACTGTATGCTCAATCTCCTGGGCTCCTCAGCTTCCCAAGTACCTGGGACTACAAGTCCATACCACCTTGCCCGGCTAATTTTTTCAATTTTTTTGTGAACATGGAGTCTCACCATGTTGCCTAGGCTTGTCTCAAACTCCTATCTTCAAGCACAACTCCTGTCTCTGCCTCCCAAAGTGCTGGTATTACAGGTATGAACCACTGCAGCTGGTACAACCTTTATTTTTTAAAAACAGCTCCTGAAGGCTGAGGCAGGTAGATTACTTGAGCTTAGGAGTTGGAGCCCAGCTTGAGCAAGAGCAAGACTCTGTCTCTACTAAAAATAGAAAAAACTATCTGGGCAAGGTGGCAGGCCTCTGTAGTCCTAGCTATTCAGGAGGTGAAGGCAAGAGGATTGCTTGAGCCCAAGAGTTTGAGGTTGCTGTGAGCTATGATATCACGGTACTCTACCCAGAGTGACAGAATGAGACTGTCTGGAAAAAAAAATTTTTTAAAAAACAGCTTTATTGGTATATACTTGAGATAACAAGCCGTATATATTTTAAGTGGTACACTTTGATACATTTTGACATGTGTACCTCTGTGAAACTTTCAGCAGAATCAAAGCAGTGAACATACTACATTCATCACCCCAAAAAGTTTTCTCATGCCCCTTTATTATCCCTCCTTCCCATCTCTCCATGACTTTTCCTCCCTAAATGACCATTTATCTGCTTTCTGTTATTGTAGATTAGTTTGCATTTTCCACAGTTTATATAAATGGACATATTATTTGTATATTAATTTTATCTGGTATCTTAACAATTATTTTGTGATTCATCTGTGTTGCATTTATTAATAGTTTCTTTTTATTGCTGAGTCATACTCCACTGTATGGCTATACCACAAATTGTTCTTTTTTTTTTTGAGATAGAGCCTCAAGCTGTCCTCCTGGGTAGAGTGCTGTGGCATCACAGCTCATAGCTACCTCCAACTCCTGGGCTCAAGTGAGTCTCCTGCCTCTGCCTCCCAAGTAGCTGGGACCACAGGTGCCCGCCACAATGCCTGGCTATTTTTTGGTTGCAGCCATCATTGTTGTTTGGTGGGCCCAGGCTGGATTTGAACCCGCCACCTTAGGTGTATGTGGCTGGCGCCTTAACCACTTGAGCCACAGGCGCTGAGCCACCACAAATTGTTTAGCCACTAACCTGTTTATATATATTTGGATTGTTTCTAATTTGGGGCTATTACAAAGACAGCTACTATGATCATTTGTGTATGTCTTTGTATTGACATATGCTTTCATTTCTGTTGGGTAAATATCTAGCAGCAGAATAAGTCAGATTACTTTATAAGTGTATATGTCATGAAAAGGTTATACCATTATACATTCCCACCAGCAATTATGAGAGTTCCAGTTTCTTCATATCCTTGCCACAATGTTTGTAGCCATTCTGATAGGCATGCAGTAGTATCTCTTTTTGGTTTTAATTTGCATTTCCCTCATGATTTGAATGTTGAGTATCTTTTCATGTGCTTACTATCCATTCATGTATCTTTTTTTTTTCCCCTAAGAAGTAAGCTTGAATTGACCATCTTTTTCGATGAAATGTCCATTTAGCTGGCATGATGGGTCATGCTGGTTATCCCAGCTACCTCTTGGAGGTCTTTTTTTTTTTTGAGACAGAGCCTCAAGCTGTCACCCTGGGTAGAGTACTGTGGCATCACAGCTCACAGCAACCTCCAACTCCTGGGCTCAAGTGAGTCTCCTGCCTCAGCCTCCCAAGTAGCTGGGACCACAGGTGCCCGCCACAACATCCGGCTATTTTTGGTTGCAGTCATCATTGTTTGATGGGCCCGGGCTGGATTTGAACCCGCCACCTTAGGTGTATGTGACTGGCACCTTAGCCACTTGAGCCACAGGCGCCGAGCCCTCTTGGAGGTCTTAAACAGAAGGAAGGACTGCTTGAGCCAAGGAGTTCAAGAACTGTCTGTACAACATAGGATCCTGTCTATATTGGGTTATTTATTTATTGTTAACTTTTGATTAATTTAAATATTTTGAATATAAGTCTTTTGTCAGATACAGTTTTAGTTTTTACATTTAGGTCTAAGACCTATATTGAGTTAATTTGTGTATAAAGTGTGAAGTGTGGATCCAAGTTCGTTTTTTGTATGTGGATATCTACTCGTTCAGTACTTTTTTTTTTTTTTAAATTAGAGACAGAGTCTCACTTTGTTGCCCTAGGTAGAGTGCTGTGGTGTCACGGCTCACAGCAACCTCAAACTCCTGGGATCAAGTGATTCTCTTACTTCAGCTCCCCAAGTAGCTGCTCTACAAGTGCCTGC